CCCCAAAACCCCAAAACCCCAAAACCCCAAAACCCCTTCTTATGAATTCATGATTGATTTTGCCTGCTGCTGGTCATTATATGTACCAAAGCTTAGATTAGTTGAGGTACTTGAACTTTGGAAAGAGAGATGATGAGGAAAACACATTGTCTTTTGAGAAGTCTCGAGAAGCATCCGTGCTTGTTAATGCCTCCTGGAAGCAATTCATGGGTCTCTCTACCTCCTCATTGATGGCCACAAGCTTATTGATACGTAATTCAGGGATTTTAGGGGGCTTCTTAAGAGATGCTTTGGCAGGATTATCAGTTTTAACAGAACTAGTGTTTGCTGATTCTTGAGGCTTAGTATAGTTTCTCCCGAATTTCGAAACAACTCTTTTTCTGAATAACTTCGTATCTCTGGAACGATTGCTGGTTCTTCCTGAAGAAATTTTCCCATACTCATCTCCTTGACTAGCTTCATATGATTTTCTGGCCTCGAGGCTCATATTTCGCCCTTGGAATTTCTTAAGGAATGGATAAATCCCCGTACTCGTACCTCATAGCTTGAGAGATGGGCCCGGCAGGGTCTCTTTCTCAAGAGTTTTTATGCAAGCGCTGACTGTACCAGATTTGATGGAAGGATCCTCAAGCTCAGTCTCTGGGCTAATTATGATATTTGGTACTTTTTCCAGCCTTCTTTAATATATTTCAAACGGCTGTTTTGTGAATTGCCTGGTCTTTCCCTTTCTCACAAGTTGATTCCTTAGATTTCTCTCGAAATTTCCTATAAATAAGATAAACAAGTGTTCATGAATATTTTCAGTGAGGGACTTGCCAAAGACAAGTGTCTAAAATTTGTGAACAAAATTGTCCGAAATAGCACCTTCTATTTAAACATAATATTTTGATAATTGACCTTGCTCTGCGGCTCTTTTTTGTGCCATGATTTAAGAGGCCGGACTTCCATCGGTCTGGGGAGAGGACATGCATCATTAATCTCACCAGGGTTAATAGCATCTTTGTGTTGAGGAAGAATGGCAGTGCCTCCGAGAGGAGTTACTTTACCATCCCCAAAGCTCTTGTTCAAGGAAAGGCTCGACTTTAAAAACCTCTTATGTCTGTAGCTCGGCCTGATGCAAATGAGGTCTATAGATGAGATAGAAGCTCTGGTTGGGAGTAGGCTTGCCTACCTTGGTTCAGGTTCCTTACAAATATCTGGATGTTCTCCCTTCGCATATTTCCTAATAAGCTACAGTGGTCTGTATGCTTAGCCAAGGTTTTCTTCACAACTTCTTGGCCAATTTCTTGAGCTAGGGAGAGGTTCTCGCTAGATTTACTAAGGATCCTTTGGATCCTTAGTAAACTAGATTTTAGCTCTAAAGAAGTCACTGGAAATGGGAGATACTTTTTGAATTTTTATTGCCGTTACGCTTCCGGCAGCGCCTAGATGTCCCTTGTTTGCTCATAAATTAACAAATATTTCAATTTTTAGGTCAAATTTGGGGTTTTGGGGTTTTGGGGTTTTGGGGTTTTGGGG